ATCAACCCATTTATACGTCCCACTGCTGGGCACGGGTCTCCTTTCATACGAGTGTTCAGGCCATAGTTCGCCACACTGGCCCAATGCGATGCAACGATGTTTGCCTTCACCGAAAAGCTCATGAAATATTTCGCATACAAATTCTGAAAACTTCACAAGTTTTTCAGAATTCGAAACCACGATACATATATAGGGCACTAATTATTTACTCTGACAGCGAATCAGCATAATACATAATTAATGTTCGATATGCTTGCTATGTTGTATCGAATTGAGGATGTATCCAATCAATCACAATTAGCATATCCTTTTTCGATTCTCACGGTAATGAACTGACCTTCCAACGAAGTCATGTTTTCCTGTGTACTCCGTCTCTCATATTTTTCCCACCCGATGTCTTGTACAGTCCATACATAGATAAGAAAAATTGATAAAGTTTCGCTAAAGTCCTTGGGTGTGTGGCCATGAGAAATCTAGATTGAATAAGGTCGAAAGGCATGTCTCTTTAAGGTTGTTGCTGGATTTTTTATACTGATGCCTATATATTGCCTTTCTCTACAAAAATGTCAGACACCAAGGGCGTTTACTGTCGTTTTAAATGTTTAATTTACATGCTTCATAAATTTATTTTTCACTTCAATCCAAAATTGCAAAGCAACTGTCAAAGTGCAATATTAATGATACTATAAAATTTACTTAATGGATGGCACTTCCAACTTAGGATATATGGGGGCTCTTATTATTTTTATAAGTTCTTTGTGAGCTATAAATTCAAAAGAGCATTGTTGTCCTGTAAATTTACATCCAAGAAATGGTATTCATGAAAAATATTTCTTGCTAAACTTGTATTGCTAAGAGTTGTGTGCTTTGCATCGACATTTCCAATCAAAAAATTATCTATCCTGTTGGCATTTGAAGATCCTAAAAGCCAAAAATCGCAAAAGTCGAAATAAGCAAACGCATCTGTTATTTCTGTGCACCTGCTGCCAGGCGCGGCTCGCCCGGACGCGTCAGCCGACGCAGCGAAGCTGACATTTGCGGCGCTGCGCCCGCGCCTGCACGGCGCCGCTGCCGACGACTCGCCGGACGGCCTTCGCTTACACATTCGACTACATTTTATATAGCGATTGAATTTATACTGGAAAATGCTAAGGGTCACACACATTATTACCATGCTAAATAAACTTCTAGTATTATAATTACGATACTGCTGAACATGCAACCACATGTGTACGTACATGCTTCTGCGCATATTTGCTTCTTCAACATGCTTCTGCACATTCATTTTCGTATTTGATTAAAATAACTGTCCATGGACATCATAGGGGGTAATTTATACAAACAGTTATATCTTTGTCCACGTTAATGTTTATGATTATACCGTTTTAATAAAATCTCGTAAAAGGAAAACCATTTCCGTCTGTTAAAAGTACCTAGACGGTGTCCGTGCCTATTAAATTGCCGGTTCAGGTATGTTTACATTTGTTGGGCACTTGATGTACCACATTTTTAGACCAAGCTTGCTTAACAAAGTAGTATATTATAATTTTATGCGAACTTGGAAAATTGTAATCGAGTAGAGTCGATCACGCGAACTTTCTGATTTTCGTGCTAGCCGTGCAAGCATTAAAACGCAATGAGCATACTTGTCGCAAGCGGTTTTCTTTTTAGGATTCCGAACTCAACCCAAATGTTGAAAAACAACCTTTGTGGTGAGCAGAGATGGCAGTGGGTAAAAAACTAAGAAACCCGCCCAGGTTTTAACCGGATTTTTACCCATTTCTGCCCAAAATCGTCAACAGGAACGGCAAATACGTAATTTGGTATAATTCCACATACTAATTACAAATTTCGATATAAAAAAACCTTCTTGGACAAAAAAGAGGCAACTCTACACAATACTCATTTTGGAATCCTATGGATTCTCACTATTAAGGTAATACACATATAACGATTCAATTTTTATGAAAATCGATGAAAGTTCATACGCTCTAACAATTTTTTATATCAATGTATTTAAATGCGACTTTCAAGCGAATCGATTCAATATAAAGGTAAATCGAATCGTCTAGATCAGAAAGCAATATACTTTTGTAATAACATCATTCAATTTAAACAAAATTCGATTTACAACACATATTTAATTGTAAATAGATTTTGCCCTGAATTTTGGACGTTAATTTGTTCAACCCAATTTAAACTCAGCGTCAACAAAGCAACAAAGGGTTAAAACCCGTTCGCTTTGGTGTCTCTCTGTAGGTCACGGTTGCTTATCTCGTCTTGAAATTTGGCATAATTATGTAATTGGGTTGCCCGTATACAGGCCGTATCTGTACGTATGTGTACGGGCAAGCCAATTATACAATTGTTTTTCACTTGAACTTTTCAGCGAG